CGCTCTTCGGCAGCGTGCTAATACACGCCAGCAACTCACAACAGGGTGAGCACGCAGCAACGTTCCAAGATGCAAGACTCCTCTGTCTTAATTAATACGTGGATCACTCCAGCATCTAGTCGGCTCAGGGCACGCTGTATTTCACCAGGATCTGAACACGCACGAGCCGGCTGACGGATGGACTTCCTGCCCCTCAACGCTGTTTCATCACCCTGAACTTACAACAGCAAAACAGGACTACTTTCCTGTCGCTCCGATCCATGCTTATAACGCAACATGTATAAAATCACTAAAATTTAATTCAAATGAGGTAAACTCATTAATACACGCAATGCCCTCACTGAATACTTGGCTGATTAAGGACCACGAGTGCCTGGACATGCTCGGCTGAAAGAACTGGGTCTGTTCAGCCCGCAGACACAAAGGCTGAGGGGGATTTTACTGCTCTCTGTACCTCGTGGCCGTGAGGGCGTCGAGAACAGAGAGCCGGGCTCTCTGCAGAAGCGCACGGTGTTTGGAAAGAAGGTAATAAGCGCAAGCTGAAACATGGGGAATTTCAGTTAGGTATTGGGTCTTTTTTTCACTGTGGGATCGGTCAAATACCAGAACAGGGGTCCAAAGAGGTTGTGGGATCTCCATCCTCAGAGGTATTCAAGACAAGACCCCGAGCATCCTCCTCTGAACAAGGGGCTTGGACTAGAAACCTCCTGAGGTCTCTTCCAACCTGAATTATTCTTTGATTGCCAGTGTAAAACCGTAAGAAAGCTTCGCTGTACTTCAGGCTAATGCAGCTCAAGGGAAGTTAAACTTTCACACAGACGGAGGAAGTAAGCCCTAACAAAGTGCAATACGATCACCTCACCGCCTGATTCATCGCTACCTGAGTGTTACATGCTGGTAAACACCTACATTTTTCATTTATTAATTATTATTTTTTCTTCTAACTGATCTTAACATACAGCAGTAGCGTTAATAAACACCTCAATATCTGTCAAGTAACTCTAAGACAACTTTCTAGGTGCTCCGCTTATCTCCAACATGCTTCACAAATATTAATTTTGCCTTCACGCCCATCCTCCCCTTCACCAACAAGGAAGTTGCATAACCCCAACGCTGGGGAGCCGCTCGCCGACTCATCGCCCCGAGCGGGATTCCTGAGCGCGGGGGCTGGAACCCACAAATACAGCAGACTTTCAGCCCTGATGCGAGGGGCGCAGAAGCGAAACTCTGCAAGACGGCAAGGGAAAGAACAAAAGCAGCACATGACTGCAGTAAGAGGTAGCGATCCGACCCTCCTGCAGGGTCGTTTTGGCTTTGCAAACTCACAGAGGGTCAGGCCACATCCTCCTCAGGTGGTACCAGCTGCCTCTTCTGCTCAGCTGCTGCCGTGCAACACCTGGGCCGGGCCAGGAGACATCGCTAAAGCCTCCAGCCCCAGCTGCACCTCCCTAGGCCAAAGCACACTGACAAAGAATTACTGGCTCCCTTCTCAGGAGAGAACAAAGCAGGGCTCCTGACACTGCTGAAGTACCAAGACTTGCCTAAAAGTCAGCAAAACAAGTATCAGGCAAAACAGCCACGTGCCATCTCTAAAAACGTTAGCTTGATCGAAGGCAAAGCCACGCAAGATAAAGACACACAATAGAGAAAGACCAATGCCCGAGTTTATTTTAAACACAGAAATTTCCCGCTGAAATCAGGGAATAAACGTTAAGAGTCTCTCTCGCCATCAGCAGAATGACACAAATCCTGTTCGTCAGGTCTGTCCCTTGCCGCCCGTCTCCGGGGGGGCTTCCCCGCTTTCTCCCTCCGTGGGCTGACCTTGAGACCCGGTATCTGCCGAGCTTTCCAGAAGCAGTTCCAAGGCTCCCTCACCAGCCACACGTCTCACCTTCTCCCCTTTAGCTGCCAGGATTTCCTCGATATTCCTTAACAGCGATTTGAAAACCAACAGTGACACCACAGCAAAGGCCGGACCTAAGAGTCAAGCGCAGGCTCACGCTCTCACGCTTCGCTCTCAGGATTAACACCACGCAGTGAATCACACATGAGCATTACCGTGGTATTTCTCCGTAAAGAGAAATAAGCAGATAAAAGCATGCAAACCTTCTGGGACTATTTTCATCCATTAGGATCATAATTTAGCAATTACGGCTAAACAGAAATTGTTAAAGGTATCTCAGGGAGTTAGAATTCATTGAAGTTCAGCAGCAGATGGGCCTACGCGTTTGAAACGCTTAGCCAGGGAAACTTAGCAGTCATTTGATAAAGCCTGAGGGAGAACAGAGCCCCACATGTAGTATTTCACCCGCTGGCACCAGCCACACAGCCCCTGCTGCAGCTTTACACCGTTTATTTGGATCCTAGGTAGCGACGGTCAAATTACAGAAGATGATAAAACTCGGTTTGTGTGCTTTAAGAGACCAGATGAAACAGAATTACACCCAGCAAAAACTCTGGTTTTCTTTGAACTGCATTTTAAAAGCATCAAAGAAATAACGCATCAGGCTCAGGAGGACGCAGTTACAGCTCGGCAGTCTCTTCCCTTCCGAAACAAGAGCGTGGCTGGCACACCTACCTCTTTCCTTCCAGATCCGAAAACCATCCCAGGTTATCCGCGATGACGTGGTGATTCCCGCAGCCGGGACACTTCACTATCACCACCCCGTTATGGTAGGCTAACTTGGAAATTGTTTTTGCTGATCGGGTCTGGCAGACCTACAAAGCAAACAAAATGGATTTTATGACCACGGTAACCGCAGCTTCCGGGCTTTTTAAGAGAAAAAACTTTTTATTTACCTGACTGAAAGGCTTCCTCCCCCCTCCCTCAGCTCTAACTACCGCAAGCCGGCCTGACCGCGTTACGATGCCGCGCAGCTTCGCACTAACGCGCTCCGGGGCCCGGCTCCCGGCGGAGGCCCACCCGCCGCCCCCCCGCTCAGGGGACTTC